ACATGCATACTAGCACGCACACGCACACACACACACACACACACACACACACACACACAGCTTCACTGCCCCATTGGTTGTGTTTTTCTGGAGAACACTGTCTAATACAGATGTTCGGAGAGGTGAATCGCTTTCCCAGGATTATAGAAATAGCAATGGCCCGATCTGGGATACTGATACAAGTTTGCTGATGGCCAGTCTAGTCCCTGTCATTTCACTTTAACACACAATTGCTGGTTTCTTAACCCCACTATCAACCTTGCTGGTTCTTCTGTTTAGCTTCATTTCAAATGTTCTACTAGGGAAGGGCATTAGCAGCCAAAACTCAGACACAGAGTTTGAAGGTCCTGGATTACCCACTTACTTTTTGGCCTACTAAGTTCCATCTGTTTGCTAGTTAGATGAACCTTCCTAAGAGACACAGTTTGCCCATTTGGACACATGTTTAGTTTTTCACTTATATTCCTAATTAGAGCAACATTAATACTTTTTAAAAAGTACATAATGGGCAGGTGATAAATTAACTTATCCTTATTCGGGGAACACAATAACACTTAGCTATCTGGTTTCAGAGTGATTCCCTAGGGCTATAGCAGCAGAGACACAGTGACAATAAAGGACAGATGTGTCATGAGTTACTGCTTTACTAGAGACTATACAAGCTAGCGCAAGCCTCTTGATGCCCTTAGGTTGCACAGCTAAGAATCAGGATAATGAGATAACCACCCCTTGGCGATGCTGTGTGGAGATCATGTAACCTGTTAGCACAACAAGTACATACACAGTAAGCCTACAATAAATGTTAGCCACGTTGGGAGGTATGACTATCTATGAGTAACTTCCTTTTTCTTCCAAATGAACAAAATCCCCATAAAACAAAGAAACAAGCAAACGTTAGCAATAAACTGGCTAGCAAAAGCCTGCAATTTCCAGGCATCCTTGAAGCTCCCAAGGATTATTCTGCGTTCTGGTCAAGGAGATACACATGAAAACATAAGGTAGGATTCTCATCGGGTCTTCCTGCCTTTCCCTCTCTCCTCTCTGTTTCCAGGAACTCAGAGACTAGAGTTCCTGTAACTATCTGTAGCTCCAAGCACAGATGCTGCAATTGGGTTTCTCTGAATAACAAACCAGATGCAGCCTGGTTCCCAAAGGATTTTCTGGATAATAGCCCTGTGCTGCCAATCTTTAAACTCTTAGGAGAAAGCATAAACTTCTAATGTGTTCCTGCTATTATTTCTGGCATCTGTCATTCAAGGCCAAACAAAGGGCTTTGGCTTGACTCTCACAGTAGGTAGTCTAAAAATCCAACTAGAGGCTTGAACCCATTTTGAGTCTATGTTTTTGCAGATAAAGGCAAGATGGGACAAATACAGAAAAGTAGCTAGCATGCACATCTTTAAGACCTCTCTTCCTATGATGGTTCATCTAGGCTGGCAACTTGAAAGGACTGGAGTGCCTGGAAGACTAGTAAAGGAAACCCTTGGCTGTGTCACTGAGGGTGTGTCCAGAGATAATTAACTAAGGCAGGTGGGAATGTTTAACCTGACCGTAGGTGGCAATCACGTGATGGAGCAAACAGGGGGATGAAAAGGGCAAGGAAGAAGAGGTTCACTAGTGCAGGCAGGAGCTCCCTTCTCTGCATCCTAGCGACCAGGACGTAAGCCAGCTCTGTGCTACTACGCTGTCTGCCTTACCACAGGCTCACAGCAATGGAGTCCCGCAACCACAGACCCAAGTGAAACCGTGAGCCAGAAGAATCTTTCCACCCTTTAAATCATTTTTCTCGGGTGTCTGCCACCACAGCAGCAAAATGCTAAGGGCAACCCCCCTCTTTCAGACATCAGCCTTAAGCCACAGTACCCCCTCTCCATGGCTTCATGCTCTATGCTCCGCATATTATCCACTCATTAGAGCCTTATGTTGTATATGAGGGTATCACCACACCACCTGGACCTATCAGATTCAGCTCTGTCTAACGGATGAGTGATTATGAAGCATCTTTTTCCGCTGTTTTCCTGAGCAGTTACATGCTATGAGCCAAGCCTTCTGGAATGCTTGAATGATCACCAAGTGCTGTGGGAACAACAGTTTGGAGCCAGGAGGTATGTGCATAAGACCGTCACCTGCTATGAGGTGGACTACCACTTAAAATAGTCTACTCATAAATAAGTTAATACAGTCCCCAAATGCTCACCTCCTACTCCCAGTTTCAAGGGTTTGTGAGCAAAGGAGAGACGAATATTTGTCTGACTAGGAAATTAAATAGCAACCAAATCCCCTGGGGTTATTATGTACTTTATACCCTTACTTTGGTGACCATTGTGATGCCATCAGCTGTTCAAAATTCTACACAAGATACCAAAGGTTACTCCTGAGCAAAAAAACCAATACTAGTCAGTGGTTAAAATAAACCATATTCCTTATACCCATGGTCCATTGTTCAACTATCCTACACTTTTATTCTTTCTTAATGTAAATTGAATATGAAAAAAATGCATAGATTTCATTTGGACAAGTCGGAATTTGTATGTTTTTAGTACAAAGTGTAGAAAGAGACCAAGTGACATCTTCTTTAAAAGTAGTGTGTGTGTGTGTGTGTGTGTATCTTTGTCTCTCTGTGTGAGAGAGTGTGTGAATATGTATTTTGGGTCTGTGTGTGTGTGTGTCTGAGTCTCTGTATCTCTGTGTATGTGTATGAGTGTGTGTCTTGAGTGTGTGTGACTGTGTATATGTGTGTCTTATGTCTCTGTGTATGTGTGTCTGAGTGTGTGTCTGTATGTCTGTGTCTCTGTGAGTCTGTACCTGTGTGTGAGAGTGTGTCTTGTATCTCTTTGTGTGTATGTGTGTCTGAGTCTGTATCTGTATGTGTGTGTATGTGAGTGTGTGGTGTGCTGTGCATACGTGAGAGGGTGTGAGAAGGATGGGGAAGTTCACTGAAGGTTATCTGTGGTCTCCATTGAGCACACTCTTCAAAGTGAAGTTTCTTTCCAGGAGCTCAAAACGATCTATAGATGACACCTCATTGCCTTTCTCCTTGACTTCTTAATTCCCCCCGCTGACTCCGAGGGGTTAAATGACTGACAAGGTCATCCAATTTCTAGTAACCTTTTCTGGAACCTTCAGACTTCAGATGGATGCTGATTAGAGTTCTGAGGACATGTGTCAGCTGCCTTGATCCAACCCCAGGGCCTGCTAAATATCCAAGCCTGGCAGACAGAAGGACCCAGAGAAATTGGAGAATTAGCCTACATGTCCACTACATTTCTAGGCCATCTACGGTTTCTCTCACATCTTTCTGGTGCTGAAGTTTAACTTGACTCCTACATCTCTGATCCTGTCTGGTGTTGTGACAACCAGTAGACTTGTTCGGTGAAGAATTAACGGGTGGGTTTGGATTTCCAGGCATGAGAACCCCATGGAAAGCACAACGAAGATGTCACCTTAAACTAGTTCTGTCAAAGGCTCTCCTTTCTCAAAGGTGTGAGCTCATTTAACTTTTAAATTAAAACGTTTCTAGAAGTGGCTGAAATCTCAGGTCACTTGGCAAATCACATGAAGCTCAGGCAGGTAACTGGCTCTGATCACCCAAAACTTGGTTTCCTCAGATATTTGGTATATAGTCGGGCCTTCTACCGTGAAAGGTTTGAGGTTGCACATAAACCGAAGTTTCTCAAGGAGAAATTAGCATGTAGAAAGCATCTGTGCAATCCAAGATAAAAATAGAGCAAGTGTGCACTACAAAAATAGTTATTATGTTTACACAAAATGTAACCCCCCCAATATCATCTAGATCAAAAATCTTAGAAAGGAACCTGGGGAGATGGTTCAGTAATTAATAACGATGTCTGCTCTTCCAGAGGACCTGAGCTCAGTCGCCAGCACTGCAATGCAGCTCACTGCAATGCAGCTCACAGTGCAGCTCACTGCAATGCAGCTCACAGTGCAGCCTGTACCTTCAGTTCCAGGGAACCTGACCCCCTTTCTAGGCTTGCCCTGCACAGAGACGTACATAATGTGCTCATATAGACACATGTATACATAAAGGAAAATAAATCTCAAAAAAAACCAACCTTAGTGCATTTTATAAAAAATGTCATTTTTTAAAGTTTAATTAACAGACTCCCTTAATCATCAAGTATTAAAGAAATGCAATTTATCTAGTTACTTTTTACACCCTTATCTTTCTAGGAACAAATAAAAATTCTAAATTAAGGAAAATATTAGTAGTTTGAAAACCAAAGTGGTTCTACATTATTTAATTTCTTATGGTATAGAGTACCCTAAGTGAAATGTAACTCAAAGCAAATTATGATAAGGAAGGACATAAAGATATCATCATGCAAAAAAGTAACAATTTTAATGTAGTGCCATTACCAAACAACCAATTGAACTGAAATGGGGCGCGGCATGGAAGAGAAGAAAGAAAGAAGGAAGGAAGGAGGGAAGGAAGGAAAGAAGGGGGGTAGGAAGAAAGGCAGGAAGGAAGGAGGGAAGGAAGGCAGGAAGAAAGAAAGGCAGGCTTAGGACACAGCTCAGTAGTAGAGCACTTGCCTAGCATGCAAGTGGCCCAAAGGTCAATCCCCAAACTTGCAAGATACAAATAAATAGAAAGGCAGAAATGAAAGTACCTACAATAAAGCGTCTCTAAATTGCTCGCATCCAAGAAGGGCAATTTTAAACAAAATATTCAAAAGTTAATTGCAGGTCTCATATAATCCAACCAGTTAAAGCATGTCTAAGGGGCCTCTATATACTGTTTTCTCAAAGTGTTGAATGGCGTGCATGTGTGCTAAGTGTGCACACACTCATAAGGTCGCTGAATGTGGAGGGACCGGCAGAGGAACATATTGAGCACACAGCTACCTCAGCTCAGATTTTGACAAGAAGACCATCATCCATCAACCCTGCAGCTTAGGGGAAGCTCTAAAATGAGCAACTCCCAGGGACCACAGACAGAAACTGAGAAGCCCATGAAGGAAGGAAGACCATGTACGCACCGTGTAGAGCTCGTTAAGAACCTTCATTAAGTCCTCGTGCAGCTGGAATGCAATCTCTTTGCTCTACAAAAAGAAGTGAGAAAAACATTACAATGTATCAGAAATTTTGTGTTTATTCTTTACATATTTTACACACTGCTAACTGAACATAGAAGGATGTGAAAAATACAATAGAAAACCAATGTGTTCTTAGTACACAAAACACCTTCAGCTCAAGCCCTTTGTCATCCCCACGAGCACAGCCCATGGTCTCCCCAGTATGTGCAGGGACAAAGGAACCATCAGCCCGGATGTCTTTCCCACCAGCCATGCCAGAGCTTGTGGGAGAGTGGGAAATGTGTGCATAGGGAGAAGTGTCATGCTTGCTTAGAAGGTGAGAGGCAGGCCAGGCAAGGTGGTGCCTGCATTAATGTTGGCGTTAGTCAGGCTGAGGGAGGAGGACAGGGAGTCTCAGACCAGCCTGAGCCACTGACTTCATCAAAAAAGGTGAAATGACACCTTCAGTGCGAGCCTAAGAGCTTGCATTTGCCCACATAAAGATAGGAGGAGAAAACTGACTTCACATACTTGTTCTGACCACATGAGCAACATGGTACATGAGCATCCCCATATATATCCTATACACAGCAACAACAGGAAAATAAATGGAAAAAAACTAAAAAGGGTGAATTTGAGCAATCAGTTTCCCTCTTCAGTATAATTGCAATATTGTGGCAATTCCCCAAAGAGCAAAGTTCGAGGAATTGAACTCTTTTGGTTCATTGCAACTTTAAGAAAACACTTCTGAGGCTGCCGGGCGGGGGGGCGGGAGGGGGCGGGGGGGTGGTGAGTTCACCTAAGGTCCACACACTTATAAGTCTACCTTATTTTGCTTGAAGACCCAACACCAGAGTTGGTGCTTCTCCCTGCTTATCCCGAGTTTGATGGAGGGACATTTTAATATTGTTTTCATTGAGCTGTGATTTGTTTTAAAGGGGACCATAGTCACACAAAATTATCTCTGTTAGGAGTTCACCCTGTAGTCATCTATAGAGAGGGGAAAGAGTGTGTTGTGTGGTTTTATCTACTGTGGGAGGCAGGGATAGAAACCACTGCTATACAATTTCCCATGCTACCAATGAGCATGGGGACCTAGGACACAGGATTTAAGGTAATCTCACCCAGCCTAGGATTTAAGGTGGCTCCTAATCTTACCCAGTCTGGCCATCTTGGCTAGGTGCATATGTAGCTTTAAGCAAAGCCTTTAATGACAAGAGTAAGTTGAACTGCTCTGTGTGAGAGGAGTGAAGCAGTTGGTATAGCTACTGAGACCATCTGCAGGTCACTGTGTAGAGAGGATGGCCATGGCCAGTCTTAAGAAACTGGGACTCAGATCAAATTGGGTCTGTCTATTTTGGTGAGGTTACTGGCTCAGTCCTCAATAGCTACGAAAGGCCAAACTGATTAAATGAAGATTCTTGGGTGGTGAAATGCAAGGAAAACAAAACATCAGAGTCTTACTTAAGTGCTGAAAATTTCAAATTCATTAGCAGCATTTGTCATTGGGTTTCCTTAGGGTACTAGACAGTGTTGCATGTGCCAGCTTCAGATGGTATCTGAATCTCTAAATTGGATTTAGGAATTTTAAGTATTGTTCTGTTCCTGATATATAAGTATGTGGAGATTAAGAATCACTCCTGAAGCTGGGCATTGGTGGTGCATATCTTTAATCCCAGTACTCGGGAGGCAGAGGCAGGTGGATCTCTGTGAGTTTGAGACCAACATGGTCTACAAGAGCTAGTTCCAGGACAGCCTCCAAAGCCACAGAGAAACCCTGTCTCAAAAAAAAAATCACTCCTGAGTAAAAGGGAACCTACATCTGGGCTAATATAGTCTCCTGGAACTGTACCTCCCCAAGCTGGGACTCTGTATGCATTCCACTACAATCTCCTGTGACTTCAGCTTGGTGTTTTCTGAATATCAGGTTTCATTCAAAGAACTGGGCTGTCGATTTAAACTCTTAAATGGGGTCAAAGGCCACCAAGGAGTCCTGCTCAGTTACGCTCAGTTTCAGGTAGCAAGTCCAAAAAGAAAATATTTCTTGGCTAAGATTTCCAAACAATAACAGAAAAAAAATCCCCACTAGTTCAATTAATCTCACACCAACATATTTAAGGTTGGAGTAAGCTGAGCCTAGGGCTCTAAGAATCGTCCCATGTGACCCTTGGCTAAATGTTGTACATTTTTACAAGACTTTAGGTGATGAGGTAGAAGCATTTTAATTTCACCTTTCATGAGACCCTCCCGTGTGTGTGTGTGTGTGTGTGTGTGTGTGTGTATCTGTTGTCTGTCTGTGTCTGTAGAAGGAAGCGTGTCATAATGTTCAAGAGGAAGGTTCACTGACCTCCACATAAGAGGCACTTTTTAGAAATGGCTTGATTCAATTCTGACATCACTCCCCATTGCCCAAAGTCAAGACGGCTCCACACTGAAAGACCCCTAAGTACTGTGCTCCAGCATGCATGTGTTTCCCCCTATCTCCTCATCAGGACATGGATTCAACATAGCGTTCTATGCTCCATACCCTTGGGGGAGGGGGTCCCACTGCCAGTGACACTGAATGAATTAATGGAGCATATACTAGGAAACTGATAACCCCCAAAGCCAGTATGACACATCTATATAATCTATGAGCGAGGCCTTTGAGGGCCTGTCTCTAGTGGTAATTTATTTTAGTGATTGTGGAAAAGTCAGTAGAGCATTGCTCTCAGTAGGGAGAACCTTAGCTAACCCTCAGGACATGGTATCACAGTTCCTATTTGTTCACCGGGTTGAGATCTAACCCTGTCCTGACCTAGAGGGCTAACACAATTCATCATTGTCTTCCTGCCATCTTTTTTATTTTTGAGAAGTCTTATTATATAGTCAATCCTGGCCTCAAACTCATGCCTCATGAGTCACCCACACAGGGATTCACCACCACACCATCACTCCCTTTGTCTGTAGGGATCCACAAGGATCTGGTTGCTTTGAACAACACTAGTTTATATCTTTGGGCCAGAACAGCATCAATAGCTAATCAGAGGGCTGTGGCATGGTTCCTGTTCTCATGGCATGGAAGTCTTACTAGGGTACGTCATCTTACTCACCTCAAAACATGTCTCCCATTTATTACTGTCACAATGAGAAGTAATGATTTCCTTTAAATAGTACTCCAGATACCTAAAACAAAATCACTTCTTCAACCACAACAGTAGTTGGAGTACCTAGACTGATAAACTGAAATCCTTCTTATTGCTTAGTTGGCATATAAAATAATGAGCCTTTAGAAAAGTCTTGAATGACGGAGGTCATCAAAATTCAGGAGGGTGTGTGTGCAGCTGGGTCCTATTTCACTAAGAACTGAAAATAGAAGAGACCCTTGACACTTGAGCAAGAATGGCTGTGTAGAGAAAAAATGGCGCAGATCTTAAGGAGGGTAATGATTGTTCCTCTGTCTAAGGAAAATACTAACAAATTATACTTGCTAGGGATAAAATTTTTTCCTGTTCTTTAAGATGGTGTTTAAAGTTACTTTTCCACAGAGAAGGAGAGCTCTTCTATTGCTCAGAGCCCCTAGAAACAATTAGAAAAGACCACTTCCTTCCATCCTATGCCTATAGGAGTTGAAACGACACTCAGTTTTCTGTTGTGTTTTAATAGGATACTGGGATTCTGATCCAAGGGGATAGAAAAGTGATCAAGGCTTTGATTTAGTTAACACTTGTTAAATGCCATATGAGGCAAATACTAGAAAACTGATAATCCCTGAAGCTAGTACGACATGATCTATATAATCTATATAATCTATGAACGATGCCTTTGAGGGCCCATCTCTAGTGGTAATTTTCATGATACACCCAGAGGTAAATCCTAAACTCCTTCCCAATTACTTGTTATTTATTGCCACTTTGATATCTCAGATACATCAAGCATAAGTTCAAAATGAACATTTCTAAGGTTTTCTTTTATTTTCATGATGAAAATGAGTGAGGTGTGTTGCACGAGACTGAGAAAAGAGGGACAGAGTGACCACCATTGTGACATAATGTCTTTCCTTCAAAAGTGAGTTTATCTAACATGGGCCTGAGCTATAATCATCCTATCACAATCTGGTATATTGTTCTACTTGCTTTTAGTTACCACAATGTTTTCATGTGTTTAATATCATCTTCAGAGTCATTCACTACAACCACCCAGGAGTGTGCACCATCCATCTTACATTATTACTTCTAATGTTTTCAGCATTTCCCACCAATCACGCAATAAATAGTTTATTGGCTTACTTATTTGATTTTACTTTAAGGCAAGGTTTTCTAATTTAGCTCAGGCTGTCCTTCAACCTGCTGTGTAGCCCAGGCTGACTATAAATTGATACTCTTGCCTCAATCCAATGAAACTTTCTTCACTTTCTTATACCTTAGTTTTTAAAATTTCAGATACTCATCAGTACTGACATGTAAGTTTCCCATACTGTAATCATTCTATTTATAGATACAAAACAAGAAACGCATGAATGTTGAATGCTAAACATTATAAGATAATTTAAAATTTCAGCAAAGTAAAATTTAAAAGACAAGAATTTTGCTGTTTTAAATGCAAATATAGCAAGAATAAAAGATTTCAACAGAGCTAATATTCTAGGGAGGTTTTTTTTTGCAATTTGTAATTTTTCTGCTTTCTACCCTCCTAAAAACCCAACAGAGTATTCATTACAGATTATAAATCTGAAATTCTTAAAAATTAATTGATAAGTTATATGATTTTCTTTATAGGCATGATGTATTTATATCAAAGCTATTGAAAAAGTAATTCTATATCCAAACCAAAGGGTCAAAGTTCAGTTGGATGGAGAAGGATGTCAATCATGCAATTGTGTGGTGTGTAGGATGGCTGCAGTGAGCTCAGGACAATGCACACAGAAGGCCAATAGCAAGAAATGAAGGTGTATTGTCAAGGTCATCTGGGTGGGTTCTTAGTACATCTACCAACAGGCATCTGCTCCATGATAGGTCTTGGTATTTGTTCCCTTGCAAAATGGTACA